TCATTTGGTGTCTTGGACGTTGGTCTTGGCGACGCTGGAATAGGCGGTTGTCACACTTTACAGCTTGGCTAATAGCTTCGTTGAGCGTTTGAGGATCAGGAAGAGATAATAGCAAGTCTTTCACATCATCCTTCAAGCCCCAATAAAATTGACTCACCAACGCCTCTTCACCCCAATTAATGTCACTTGCCAATTGTCTGAAATCCGAGGCATAGATTGATGCAGAGCGTGTTCCTTGTCGTAGCGATCGGATCTTTGTTGTAGCCCATCGAACTTTATCATACTCGCCAAATGCTTCTGCAAACGCCTCCAAGAACGTTTCAAAGTTGCTCAGGATTGGCGATCGCTTCTCGAACAAGGGAGTAAACCAAGACAGAGCTTGTGCTGTAAGCAAGGTTCCAACAAGCCCAACATGCGCTTCCTCCGTCGGATAACGTTCGGGCTGTAAAATTGTTATCAACCTGATTTGTTTGACAAAACCTCGAAACTTGGAACAAGTTCCATCAAACTTATCCGGAAGACTAACTCGAGGCTCCTTTCGTTGTAGGACTACTCGATCTTGTTGAAATGGAGGTAGAACTGCTTCTTCTGGCGTAGAAGTTTGAGGCTGATATGCTTTAGATGGCGCTATCCCAGATGCTCCATTGTTATGGAGTCCTACCATGGCTCCTTCGATCTTTGTTGTCCTATGTGACAACGAGGCAAGAGCATTTATAATGGCGTCTAGTTTGGATTCCAAACTTTCAGCCATTTTAACGTCTTAACCTTCGGCTAACCTTCAGAAAGAAGAAAAAAGAGTTTTTACAAGAGGACCATATTGGTTCAGAGGAGAGTACTCCGCAACCTCTAAAACGCCTTAAGACTCCAAGATGAGGGGTAATCCACTCTCTCCAAGAAGAATAAGGCTCCAATATTGAGAAAGAAGAGATATCAGTTTAGAGGAGGGTAATCCGCAACCTCTAAAACACTAGCACACCTTCAAGAAGAGGGGTAATCCACTCTCTAACAAGAAGGAACTAGCTCTGATACCACTGAAAATGCAGTCTCGACAAACTGTCACGGACACAAAATACAGACTTGAAATCTAACAAGAAGTTTAAGAAGAAGTGGCAGAACTAGATTAAACAGATGAGTACAAGAACAACACCAGAAAGGTGAGCTAGAACTCCAAGAGATGTGTTGTCGAGACTGAAGAACCCTTCAGCCTCGACTCCTATATATACTACTGAATAGGAAGCTTCTCGAGCTACTTCTGCTAACTAGGACGCTTCTCCAACAACTTCTACTAATTAGAAAACTTCTCGAGCAACTTTCTAGAATCTATCAGAATATTCTAGAACCTTTTAAGAATATACTAGAATCTTCTAAGAATATTCTAGAACCTTCTAAGAGAATCTTTAGGGAATATTCTAAGAATCTTCTAAAACCTTCTAAAAGAATCTTTAGAGAATCTTTAGAGAATATTCTAGAAGAATGTTCGAAGAATCTTCCAATGTATGTCCATGACAGTATGTCGACATTCTTCTTTTGAAACACGTCTTTAAAATCCTTATATTACTCTGGTATACTTGCTGTCGAGATCTTCTCCGCAGTAGTTGGAGTTGCATAAATGACAAACGGTGTACCTTCTTTGGACGATCTTATAAACGCTCTTGCTCTAATGAATAAGGATTTCTCTATTCGGGATTTTCTACTAGGCTTGCTCTTAGGTGGTTTTGTGGGAAAGGTCATCTTCCACAACCTCCAATTTATGGATGGATTATGCTTTTTCAACCAGAAAAGACCAAGAATAATAGGATTTGATGGAGTTCTAATAATATTGAAAATAATATGACTACTATGGCCCTTAAACGTCACTTCTATAGGTTCTGATTCATGGGTGACACTACCAGATAATAAAGGTCGCCCATCTATGACCTCAACGTGAACAGGTTTGGATTTTTGTACTAAAGGGATCTTATGACGCTTCGCAAATTCTTCGTCTAAGAAACAAGCAGATGCTCCTGAATCTAATAATGCTAAGGTTCTCAGTTTTTGAGGGCCAATAAACAAAGGAATTGTAAAGTAAAGGGCAAGTTGAGCGGAAAGAAAGGAACCTGGTTGTTGTTGCGATATTTTATTGTCCAGCCGCATGGTTCCTAATGTGGTTGGGCATCCTCATTTTCCTGAACAAATGTGCCCCTAGTCCTGACAATACGTCGATTTTGCTTCTTGGGACAGTTTCCAACTTTGTAGCCTTCTTAACCACAATATAAGCATAGACTTTCCTCCATATGCCGCTTTTTTTCTTCTAGAGTAAGAGATTTGACACGTACCGCATCAATTTGCATGTCTTCTACCTCTGAATGTGAATTCACGTTGCTTGTCGACATAGTTGGGGCATGGCAAACCGTATGTTATCTTGAGCGTTGGTCTTGGTGGCATTGGAATAGGCGGTTATCGCACTTCACAGCTTGGCTAATAGCTTCATTGAGCGTTTGCGGATCAGGAATAGTTAACAGCAAATCCTTCACATTGTCTCTTAAATCCCAATAGAATTGACTCATCAATACTTCTTCGTCCCAATTGATGTCGCATACTTATTGCCTGAAATTGGATGCATAGACTGATGTAGAGCGCATCCCTTGTCATAGTGACCAGATCTTTGTTGTAGCCCATCGAACCTTATCGTGTTCACCAAATGCTTCCGCAAATGCCTCCAAAAAGGTTTTAAAGTTATTTAATATGGATGATCGTTTCTCAAACAAAGGAGCAAACCATGATAGAGCTTGCCTTGTAAGTAAGGTTCCAACAAGCCCAACACGTGACTCCTCCATTGGATAGCGTTCGGGCTGTAAAACTGTTATCAACCTGATTTGGTTGACGAATCTTTGAAACTTGGAAGACGTACCATCGAACTTGTCTGGAAGGCTAACTCGGGGCTCCTTATGTTGTAGAACCAACGGTGCTTGTCGAACCTGAGGCAAAGTTGCTTCTCCAAGTGCGAAGTTTGAGGCTGGTGCAACCTAGATTGTGCCATCACTAATGCTCCATCATTATGCAGCCTTGCCACGACTCTTTCAATTTCTGCAGTTCTTTGCGATAACATAGCGAGGACATTCATGAAAGCATCCAACTTGGACTTCGAACTTTTCGTTATACTAATGTCTTGGCCTCCGGCCATTCTAAGAGAAGGACAGAAATGACTCTACAAGAAGACAATATTGGTGTAGAGGAGGGTACTCCGCAACCTCTAAAATGCCTTAAGAACTTCAAGAAAAGGGGTAATCCACTCTCTCCAAGAAGAATAAGACTCCAATATTGTAACGAAAGAAGTATCAGTTTAGAGGAGGGTAATCCGCAACCTCTAAAATGCTAGTACACTTCTAAGCAGAGGAGTAATCCACATTCTAACGAGGAAGAAACTAGCTCTGATATCTAAGGTGAGTGAAGTCTTGACAAACTGTCATGAACACAGAATTACAAACTTGAGATCTAACAAGAAGTTCAAGAAGAACTGACAAGAACTAGATTAATCAGATGAATACAAGAACAACACCAGAGAAATGAGCTAGAGCTCCAAGAAATGTGTTGTCGAGACTGAAGAACTCTTTAGCCTCGATTCCAATATATATTCCTATTTAGGAAGCTTCTCAAGCAACCTCTACCAACTAGGAAGCTTCTAGAAGGTTCCAGAGACTTGCTTCTAGAAGATTCTAGAAACTTGTTTCTAAAAGGTTCTAAGGACTATGTCCCTAACAACTCTTCACTTTAAACTAAAAGTAATTGCATTGATTTTCTATCTATTCTATCTTGTCTCATTAAAGCCTACAAAGTAGATAGAAGCCTCTTTTTTATATAAAAAGATAATGTAAAACATTAAAATTTTAACCATGTTCAATCTATTAACTATGAATTATTTTAAAAAAAACTCTAATAATTTTTTAATAAATCCCTTTCTACACATTTTGGTCTTCATCAACCTTTTCAATCAATAGTTGTGTAATAACACATCTCATAAATAATTGCAATTTTGAAATTTATAGTCCCAAACAACTTCTACTATCTTCTAGTATAACAAACTCCAAAACTAGTCCAAAGTAATAATAATTCCATTACTCTCATGCACCCTTCTGAATTACCCAAAAAGAATAACATTCAAAGTAATCTTTTGGATCTTAAACCCCAACTTTAAGATGCCTCCACTCAATTACTCACTCACTCACTCACCACTACAAATTTGGTCACTTTCACGTAGACGCTCACCGTAGAAGGATCACGTAGTAACAACTTCTGGTAACAGTAACAACTCTGATCAGTCACACTGTATGGTGTATCAGATCATAGTGGGCTAGCTATTCCGTCCTATGAGCCAAATTATGCCGTGCCAACTCGAGAAGTAGGCTGACATCCAGGATGAGCATTGGCGTTACATTCAAGTTGCAGCATGGTTTGAATGCGGCCACTGGCATTGCAGTACCAGGTTTTGTCACAAGATCGCGGAGTTGTGGACTCGCTGATAGCGTTGCAAACCATACCATCCAAGTCCTGTGTGAGTAGCATACAGGGTGAGCAAGCATTCTCAGACTTCATCATCTTCATCCTCTGTTTTTATTTTTTTATTTATTATTATTATTATTATTATTTGTATTCTTTATTGTCAAAAACGAGTTTCTGGCCATTTTAAGAACTTGATGTAGATCAAACATTGCCAATTCAGTCTCTATTCTGCATGGAAATTGAGACTCAATCAAGGGTGCAGTATCCTCTATCGCTTACTAAAAGCCTATCCAACTTTTCTTGCTGACCTCTGTTGACCGGGCATGTCTCGAGATTCGTGAGAGAGGAAGCAATCGTTCAGCGTGTATGAGCTCTACAAACTCGACCACGTTTCTGGAACTCAGCAGGAAGACCGTCAATAAAACAGGTCCGCGAATGTGGGAGGACATTTACGCTCTAGGAGATCAAGTTCCATTTACAAACAAGTTCAGCCGTTTCGCGAATTAGAGTCATTACAAATATCGGTTGGTTCACTGTCCGTTCATTCAAAATCTTCCTTCGTACAATTTTTCAGTTCCAAATTATTACAAAAAAAATCACCACATACCTAACTTTCTTGACTGGGAATTTGAATTGGCAGCTCTGTAATGGCAAGAGTGAACTCAGGCTAGCACTGCTAAGCATCCGAGCAAGACTACTCACAAGTGAGGTGTAACAAACTCAGCTGTGAGGAGTCTGTACAGGACTAGGGTTTCCTTGACTGGCAGGGAGCAACGTGGCGCAGATCGACCATCCCTCTCTCACCTCTGCAAAGAATCCTGTTCAATTGATGAAATTGGCCGAAGCACCTCGGCGTGGTCCTTGCAGTGATCTGCAGGGGAAAACGATGAACCGCACAATTCAGGAGCACTTCTAACGAATGATCATGTGTATAAAGATCGCTGATACAATGCCGGCCTCATCTTCAATGCCGGATCATAGAGCAGCATACACGCAAAGATGATAGACAGCCAGGTTGAATCAGCTTTGGTTTTGCACTGAAGTCAAAAATCTGGATTCGCCAAGAGCATCATCAGGACATAAAAGCTTCACGACCTTGAAAGTAATCAATCCAAGCCTCCATGATTTTAGAAACTCACATTTATCATCACCAATTGTTGCTAGAAGACTGCAGCTTATGAAAACTTGCGCAGATTCAAAATGTTCGTCACTGGAATGATGGATAGCCAAGTAGCCAAATTCTGAAGGCAGGATTCAAAGGAATGAATATGGGGCCTTTATTCTTGGGAGAGAGGGTGAGAGGCCACAATTTCTAGCTCCTTCGATTGACTGGGATTGATTAGCAGCAATTCAACTTACTTTATTTTCAAGACATGACTTGAACAAAATTGAATAGTAAAACATAAAATAATATCTTAATATTATTTACATGACAACTCCAAATTTGTCCTACGCAGTTTCGAAGACATTTTGCGGATCTTTTCACAATAATACTCCAAATATAAACGAAACATAGATGAGAATTTCACCAAATGCATGCAATTTTGAGCAAATTTTCCCCGAATATCTTATTTTTGGGAGGACGGTAGTCCGATGTTTAAACCAGAATTATGGGCCACAAAGCATCTTGATTAGTGTAAGGTCCATTGTTCTGAACCTTCCATCTACAAGAAAATACCCAATTCCTATACAAGCAAGCAACCAATTTCTGTATGAGCTCCAGCCTAATGAAGTGAATGTAAAGGATTCCTAAGATGCTGCTCCAAAGTATCCAAATAGCAACTACTGTCCAACATTAGCTGGTATGATGCATGAGAACAATTTAGCAAAACTCACCGGTGCAGCAACGTAGTTCTTTGCATCCATCAGGTTGTTATATTGACTACAATAATAATAAAAAATGTGCTGCTTCCAGCTGCATTATCCATTTTAGCAATTTACTTGAAGGGAGGGTAATGACTTCCCCAACACCAGAGGTAACAAGTTCCCTGCAAAAGTTTCAATCATAGTAGTTCACATCACGCTAGATTTATCGCGGAAAAAAACCTTTTCAGGTGAGGATCAGAAAAACCTGTCAAGTTATGCGACATATCCAATGTAGCCTTCTGAGACAGGTGAACCTCTACGACCTTCGCATGTAAGAACTAGAGGGTCAATAATACGAACCACTAGAAACTAAAACGTCACTCGTAAAATAAAGGTACATCCTGCAACCATGATACAGCTTACGGCCCGAACGGCATTGTAAGTGCAGCTGTGAAGGAGTCAGGGAGCAAGAACCAGGACTTTTATTGTGCCTTGCGAATTGGCCGCAAGCATCGTAGGGCTCTCGCTTTTCCAGCACACGGCACTTATGAAGTGAGAAGTATCGTCACTTTCTTCATCTTGAGATCCAAATCTGTGCCAAGTTGCTGGTTTTGACATGGCCTGCAGGCGAAGAGACGAGATTAGCAGTAATCATGGGAATTTCAACAGAGACGAGCTAACAAGCATTAAGCTGGAACTATAAATGCCACACATTCGGACATTGGTCTGAACATTAATCCAATACCTCAGTAGTAATATCCTCTAGACCACATGTAAAATACCTTAAGTTCGTACTTCACAATGAAAGGTGTTCACGAAAAGTACAACTAGGCTCATCAAATTCCTAGACAAATCTTAAGACAAGCAAAAACCGTTCTAAGAACCTCATTTCAAAAAACCAACCAGAATAGTCACAATAATGAGCAAAGAGTTCTTTTTTAGTAATACAAAATTAGCACTTCAAAATATCAAAAACAAGACACATCAGGATCGTATAATCCATTGGTACACTAACAATGAAACAGAATGTTACCTTATGATATACAAACACCTCATTTGATTCACTGCCACAAGCTATGTACTCACTGTTAACAGTCAGCCCAACAAAATTCTTTTCGTTGGCGTGTCCTTTCAGTGTTCTTATCTGCGCCCACGTAACCTCATAACAGTCAATTGCGCATAACCAATGAGAAAGAGAATATCAACCAGCAAGTTTGACCACCACAGCTTCCAGCACCTTTTAGATTTGTTTGGAATATTTCATTATACGTTGCCTTAACATTCCAACTTTACTCAGCAAGTACATGAACATGTTCTATTCCAGGAACTAGTATAAAAAACATGTTCTATAGTAAAATTAGATCATTAATGAAATTTATTGAACTAGTAAAAGAGTAAATAAAATTAAATAAAAAGAATATACCGCATGGTTCTCTTTTACATCCCAAAGACGCAAAGTACTATCAGTTGATGCAGATGCCAACTCGTCAGACGATAAGAATTTGACATAGGAAACAGCTTTGCGATGGCCATTGAACACATAAAGAGGCATCTGAGAATTGCGCACATCAAAATAATGAATATGATGATCCGCGGAACCTACCTGCAATCAAATAAAACCCACAAGTTAGCTCAGTAACAAAGAATCAAATATTTATAATACAATTTGAAGAAAGCAAACAACGTGAGTTTCACTTGATCAAATAATACGACGGTATCACCCATTCGGAAGATTGCAGAACTTACAGCCACGTAGTTGCAAGAACCAGGGTTATACTTCACACAACAAATATTCGCTTTCATATCTATGTTGAGAACACTTGATTCTTGCCTTGTACACCATAACTTCACCTACAAACATAAACATCAAAAACCTAAGCATCGATTAAGCAACAAAACCTTCCCGTTACTATCATTCATCATTTTCAACACATCACAATTCCAAAACACTCGCCTTGCCGTCATCACTGCCTGACACTAGCATTGTAGGATCAGTCCGTGAGAAATCTACGCTCCAAGCTCGTTTTTCATGCTCCTCATATTCCATGATGCTCTGCAACACTACTTGAGGTCAGCTGATTGTCAAGCTATCCCTAAAAAGGGATTAGGAGAACGATGAATCATAACTGTACATACCCATAAACAACATAAGAACTCCAATTACACATCGAGAAGACATGTCTCTTGAACCAGACATAAAGAAAGAGAATGACGACTTGCCTGATGTTTATTAATATCCCAGACAGTAATAATGCCTTCATAATCACTGCTGGCAATATGTGACTTGATGTACTTATTCCAACTTAGGCAACTTAACTTCGACCTCGTTGACATCTCAACTACTGGGCAATGCACGTCAGCCAATTCATTGACAACCTGAATGCAAGAAAAAAACCAAGCGATCAAGTAGAGACACACTTCATAAAACTTGCTAGGATCTAAAGAAAAAAACTGTTTCTTCAAATAGCAACTGCAGCTCACTGTAAATCAGCCAAAATGGCACACGAATCAATATATTGCATGATAACAAATCTATTTTAACGCACACCTTCATTCAAAAATGAAATTCTGATCTGTTTTTCGTCTGTTTACTTACTCAGCAACAGCTCCATGTGACATAAACATACAGATCTTCAATCATTTTCAGATAAGCAAAGCATACCGTTGCAAACTCAAAGACCTTTATCCGCCTTGAAACACCACCTGTAGCGAAAAACTCGTCATCCCTGTCAAACTCAATGCTGCAGATACAGTAATCCTACTGTGAGTTCACAAATAAGTGATACACAACGACTGGAAACTATGAGATTAGCAAATGTGCATCTTACAAATGCTGCCTAGGTAATTAAAAACTGAAAGTCACTGCAGCTTAACAACTAAGGCGCAGACTCCCTGCTCTCACCTTAACCACAAGCAGACATAATGCTGTTGAAAAATGCAATCTAAAGCAGCTGCAAATTCACATAGTTTACTTAATCTGCAGGACAGAAGCTCTTCTCCACCAGATGACCACATCGTATGATAATGTACCCTACCTCTAGATAGCGGCATTCTTACCTCGAAACAATATTAGAGGAATGGAATAAATCTCCATGACGCAGCTCTGCAATCACACGCAAACGACTGCACAAGAACATAAAGATCCTTACTAGATTCACAAAACAGAGAATATGTGACACAAATACCACGACGCTTAAACATGACCATGCCTTCACAACATCAAAACTTTATGCAATCAAACAGTACCCAAATTAGCAACCCAGTCTAAAGGAACTCCTTGAAACATACCACTCAGCACGTCACAAGCAAACGAAATGCCTCATGTGCACATGGAAATTACCCGCCATTCAAAAGGAAAAGAGTAGTATACCTGTAACGTGTAAATGCATTAAGCACAGACTGGAAATCATGTAGACCCGAACAGTATCGATCGGAACCTGCAGACGCAACATTTTCACCTTTATCTGCAACCGTGTGCGATAATTTTTGTTTTTGACGTTGAGCCTGTGCCACTTTCCTTCTGCGCTGCAGATAAGCTTCTTGCAAGTCCTCAAACTGACATGTACACACTCCAAAACACTATCAGACAATTATCCACAACATTTAAACGTTTGAAGTGACATAGTCATGCAAATCATAGTAAGCCTCGTAATGAAGGACCAAGAGCACCTTGCTATCCACCGCTGGCTCTAAGGTAGCTTTACGCTGATCTCACACCTACAGCCACTAAAAGTAATCTAGTTTTCTACAAAACTAATGGGTGGAAAATAATGTAGGGGTGAAATAGATAGTCAACTAGTATTCAGTAGTGGCAACTAGATGTATGATCACATTAAATGACGATAAACAAGCGCTGCCATAGGCACCTCTAGGAAACTAGTTTTTCCAAACATTGTTATTACCTGAGCCATCACACGGCGTTTCTTTGCCATTATCAGGACCGCTGGTGAAGAAAACAACCCCTGCGAATCAGTTTGACACTTGCTCAACGTCAAACCTTCTACCAGTATTGCTTTTTTGTGGGTCCCAATAGAAGCACCTCGTCCTCTGTGATCCCTCTGAAGACTGGTTGAAAGCGAACTAGCTGGAACTGATGCACCACCCTGACCACCTCGGTTCTGAGAAGTGGCTCCACCATTACCAATGTTTTCACATATGGCTAAGGTATCTGCCCCAGTGTATTGTCCCATCATTCGAATTTTAAGTAGGTACTCGTCCTTAGCTCGCAAGAGATCTTGCCGCTGCTTCTCCACGGTGCTGATGTCTTCCGTGAGAAACTGAAGATCCCCTTGTATCTACATGTGTAGAGAGCTCCAGTCAGTGTAATTATACGCAGTCCATGTTGATAACATACACTTGCCAAAGGTCTAACCAAAAGGTGAAAATCAAGACGTAACTAGTCTAAATATGACGCCAAAAGCACAGATACATGCAATTTAAACAAAGCTACCCCAGAAATCAAGTCCTTCGTACTGAATAGGTAATCTAGCTTCGAAGACTAAACACTTACAAGATAAAGGTCTTCTTGCTTCTGCTGCTGAGACCGACGCAGAAACTCTAATAAAATCTCCATATTAGTTTCAGCTTCTTCTTGTTCAGCCTTCCGTTTCTTCTCTGACAGCAAGTGCATGAGAGAATCCAGCTCTATAACAGGAAAATCCACATCCTTGCATCAAAACAGAAACAGATAAGCGCCCCTATTGCATCAAAACAGAACCACCAAAAACATTCCAGCATTGTATCCGTGCTCAACTATCTGAATTGATACAAAACACATTTAACCGATCTTTTGAGTCCCAACCCTGTAAACATCATTAATGTTTTACTATCAAGTGCAGCAGGTCTATTAGTACTGACTGACGCATCGATAATAGAAGGAAAACATCTCCAACACTTCTGGATGTTCCTGAGCAACCATCACTGCATTACTTTCAAAAATATAGTAATTATAAGCTAGAAAAAAGGGAAAGTAAAAAGAAAATACTCTTCAGTCATGAAGAGCACTGATGAAAGCAGCATAACACTCTAACACGAAATATTGAGATAGAGAGAAATTAGGATTCCGCTAGGTAGCAGATTATCCACATAAAATAGTAGTAGATCCACTCAGCAAAGTGTGTTTTTTCGTAATAATATTGAAAGATGCCACACCAACATCACGATAAATGCAATTGATACGGTTTCCATACACTGACCCTTAAAATCCCTGAAAAAGAAAAGGAAAGTGAAGAAACTAGAAAAGAATTACTTTGGAATCACGTTTCTTTGAACCCCGCATGCTTCAACAGCAGTTTTGAGGATAAAATTTTCATGGTTAGAAAGGATGCGATCGCCTTCTATAATTTAGGCGACTTAGGATATGCTGAATCACAAAGATGAATTACGACAGCAGCATGAGAAAAATCTATTTATCACGCAAGATATACACGGAGGAGCTATTCTGAATAATTGGTAGAGGACGTCAACAGACCTGCTGAAGGGCAAGCCGTAAATGCTCGGCTGGGGATGCATTACTACAAAGCTGAGAAGCGGAAGCCTTTACCAACAACTGCACCAAGTTGATTCACAAGAAAGTAACGAGTGAAAGTCATGAGACAAGCTACATTTGTTAAAAAACAATCGTCCCTATTCCATCCTGCTTGTGGAACAATGTGACATTTATGCAAGACAAATGCATGATAATCACAAGATTTTCATAGAACATTGATAAAATATTGTTCACTCCCAGAAACAGAGAATATTTTCTTCCGGATGCAAAGGAAGTGAAAGAGATGATTAAGCACTTGAAAAAACGCCTTCACCTTATTTAGTAAAAAGTTGGGAAAAAGCTGGTTGTTCGTAAGGTACAATCCGCAGCAAGGACAATTTTTCTTGTTATTCAAATGCGTCGTTATGCACGCGTAACAAAAGCTGTGCCCACAAGCGGTCAGGCATGCATCCTTCATGGTCTGTATGCAAATGGGGCAGAGAAAATCCTTGTCCAAGTCTGAATTTGTTGACACTGCAACCTTGCACTTGACATCATCCTCCGACCAGTAGCCCGTTCGTGGTTCTTGCTTAACCCTTTCCACGGAAGATACATGAGGCTCTACCGACCCTTGGGCAAAGGGCCCAGACCCTCCCTCCATCCTCACTGTGATGGCTGCACCACTATCAAAGCTTCACTCTATCGCAAGAAATTGTCATTGCCAAATCCATCCTCGCATGAGATCTCCTACTGAAAGCTCAGTCTAATCTAAGAGTCCACAAGATGCTATTCAAGCCAACTCCCCATCTTCGATTCCCGCTCCTCACGAAATCTCACGGCTGCAATTTCGATGTAACTCTAAATGCACCCTCCGAGGGCAAGGCATATTCAATGACACTTCAAGCCACGCCACCAGACCTCGTCAATTTCGAACCAATAGCTCTATAAAATAGAGCGTATTCCCTACAGCACAATTCACAAGGACTTCGAAAACCCTAAGAATGTGAAGAGGCAGGAAGTCTAAGAAGCTGCACCGTGCGTATTAATTCATGTGCGCGATAGACACATGAGATAATCCACAGCTTTCAGCTTAGAAACCCGCGGCATGAGCAATAATGCAGAACGAAACAATCTCTAATACTGCGTTGCTCCAAACCTCGCCACGGCACAACGCACCACAGCACAGTCCAAAACGCTTCAGCTAATGTCACGATCTCAAAAAGCCAGGAACACCTATCCAAGGTCTGCTACCCACCAAGACAACCTCCGCAACCAACCTCCAGGCTCCCACATCCCGCCACAGTCTACCAAATTCCAATCCCAATCATATCCGAGTCACGCCCTCCAACTCCAAACGCATCCCAGTCACTTCAATTAAATGCAACACCTCTCCTCCAAGACCCCCAGCCCCTCAAGTCCACGGTTCCCCTTGCACCTGTGACTTCCAACCACCACTCCAAATCTAAATCCCGTCCCCACCACAACACAGAGAACAACACTAGTCTCCACTGATCCGGCGAAAATTAGGCCCCGACATAGCAAATGAGAGCTCGGTGCAGCCGCAAGAATTAGAGCACCTGTAGTGACTACCCAAGAGGAGCAATGGAGGCAAGTAGCAGCAGCCCGTACGATGGGCAAGAGGAGGAGCGTCGAGCGGCAGCAGCAGCAGCAAGCGCTCGCAAGACGAAGACAGGGAAGGACGACGATGCCATAGCCAATCGGAAGCAAACCGCGCGTGGTGCCCCCGTCATCAAAGCCACGAAACCACCAGAAATCATCTCATCTTCCCAATTACTTTCACAAAACGACAAACCCGCTTGCGATGTTTTTAGAAAACACTCCACATTTTCGTTACAATACTAGAATTACAGTTTGGATTTTCATTCCCGTCATAGGAACAGAGTGATTCGTACACAGGACCCGATTCGCCTACGCCACAATCCCCCCACCCCTCCTCTCCTCTCTCTCGACACACTGAGTAGAAGCACAGTGGACGAGGAGAGGGCGAGGGAAGTCGAAGGAAGCATGGCGGGCAGCAGGCAGCACACTTTAGGTTTGGTGGGACAGCCTTGGGGATCGGCTCGGGAACGAACGAGAGGACAACGACATGGTGCTACCTCCCTCACTCCTCGGGAACGGTGGCGTTCCAATGGCTTATATACAATGTTGGGAACGTGCTGAGTTGGCGCCTATGTGGAGTGTGGGCAGTGAGCGAGCGGGCACTTACCCACGTGGGCGAATTCTAACTCCATTGAATTCCCGGGTAAACTACAGAATCAAAAACGAGGCGGAGGTTGGGGTGGAATCAAATATCATTCGCTGTCCTACCCCCCACCCTGCCCTCCGGTAAAACCCCAAGCCCCTCGTTCTTACCCCATTCTCCATTTTACTCATCGGTAACTTTCTGGACGTGGATTTCCTTTTCCTCCCTGGTAACTTTCTTGACGAGACTTCCCTTTTCTTCCCTGGTAACTTTGAAGTCTCGCAAGAAGAGGGGGGGGGGGTCTTGAGGTCTCATCATTCATTCATCCCGTCGACACACATGGGATGAGAAATGTGTTAATGATACTCAAATCCTCCTTCAAATTCTCATTTTTTAAGCTTAAACTGCAATGTTGTTATCAAATTTTTATTTTTATTTTTATGCCTCAAAAATGTCATTGAAAAACCCATGTGCATTTGGAGAAAACAAATATAATACAATGTGTAATGATTCTTGATACCCTCTAATGTGCTTAATGTTACTTTGTTGTTTTTGAATTTATATTTTTTTACTTTTTATTAACATTTGAGTGAAAGAGAAGATGATGGTTTGATGGAGAAAAGAATAATGATATACAAGTGAAAGTTTACAAGAAAGATATTATAGATGTTTTTAAAATGATATTGCAAATAAAATTAATATGTATACATGTATGTATTTTTGATGTAGAAATTTAATAAATATATATATATATATATATTTGCAAAGATTAAAAATTTTAATTTTAATTCTTTAAAAGTAAAATACAAATCAATTACATATTACCAAAGTCTGTATCTATATATATATATATATATATATATATATATATATATTAGTTTGTAAATTTTATAAAACATATTAATGTATCAAAGACATAGATCAAGTAATTTCTACGATGAATCATATTACATATATTTTGAAGAATCATACTCTAAATATATGAAAGGAATTATAATTTAATTTAAAGTATTATGGTCATTACTTGATCTATAAAATGATTTTGATACAAAACATTCAACTTCAAAAATTACTTTGAGACATGTAAAAAGAGAAGAAAATTAGAAGGAACGATATGTCATTTTAAAGCTAAGTGTAATAAATATTTTTTTCATTGTTAAAAATACATATTTAAACATCAAAATTTTGGATTTTCAAGTTGTAATCTATTTAAGTTGTTATAAACTATGATAATTCAAATCCACCTTAATACTCACAAAATGTGATTATTATTATTTATATAATAAAAATAAATAAAACCAAAAGATCAAATATTATAGTGAATGAGATTTGTGAGAAAATAAAGAAGAAGTGTATTACTAAGATAAAAGTTTTATGAAGCAAATACAAAAGAATTCTCTACCTTACTATCAACGATTCAAGAGAACAAATGCTTAAAATGAACCTCTACTTCTATTCCTTATATAGCACAAGTCCATGATCTAACCACATAGATTTTTTTAGTTTAAACATACAAACAACTAGCCTAGTCAATAATGTCTAATTAATATATAGACATTCATCTTGTTAAAACATATGATGGCTTGGTAGGCTACGATGGCTAAATGGTATTACCACCAACAAATAACGGCTACAACTTGTTAATCAGTAAAGTGGTGTTAATCATCCATTCTACTTTATATCTAATATGAATTACATATTCTATTAATACTTCTATTTAATGACATATTAGACTAATTTAATTTAATGATGTCCATCATCTCTTTTTAATTATAATGTTTCTCATAAGATAGACCTTTGATCAAAATATCTGCAACCATATCTTGAGTCTTACAAAAAACTAATTTGATGTTGCTACTTTCAATCTTTTTACAAACAAAGTGATATTAAATTTCAACATGCTTAATACAAGTGTAGAATGTAGGATTCCTTAAAAAAATACAACTTTGATTATCATTAAAAATAATCAAAGAACCAACTTGTGAAAATCCAATGTCTTTAAAAGAAACTTTGAAGCCAAATTGCTTCCTTTATAGCATAAGTAGCTATCATGTACTGTGCTTTGGTGGTAGATAATGCAACCATTGGTTGCTTCTTACTATTTCAACTAATTACATCATCAACCAATAAGAATATATAATTAGTGGTTAAACTTTATATATTAATATCTCTTGCATAATCTGCATCATGGTAACCAACTACTTACAAACTCAAAGAGCTTTTATCATATTGTAGCTGTCAAAGATACGAATCTCAAAGAAAAAAAATCCTTAATACACTCTTGTATCATTAATAGAATCTAAAAAGACACTCAAAGTTGATATAATATTGAACTAAAATGACTATTGCTAAAAATAAGAAGACTAGAAAATCTTAAAACAAGACTAAAGAATAGAAAGGTATTGACAAGAGTGACAAAGGCTTCACTCTTGCCTCCATATATATTCTTAACTAGGAGCTACATGGTGATGTCTTATAAGACATGCAAAACATGTTGACTTTGCAAGATATGTATCTTAACTTACTAGGCAAGTTTTTTATATGTATGCCACATAATTAACTTGTTTCACAAGCTACTAATATATGGTTAACTTATTGGTCAAGTTTCTAATCTACCAATCAACTACAAACACATATAAAATCAAAGAAACATCTATGAAGCTTTTAAAAAGCTTCTCTAAAAGGTCTTATAAAATTAACCTACTTTTATCTATTTTTACCTATTTCTACTTAATCATATAGGTATTTATTAGAGTATCTTTGTATATATTATCTCATCTTTTAGAGATGGATTCTATAAGAAGCGGTCTTCATATGCTGAGAAAATCTAAGATGTGGCGAATTGTATTTGTTACATACTTTGATCTTTGTTCTCTTTGAAAATGGTTAATAGGTCTTCTCAGCCATTGATAGTATCTTATACTAAGAAAAGAAGACTACTATGTTATTTGATCATTGTTAAAGCCTTCATAATATCCTTCAAATAAAACATTTGAAACACTGTTAGGAATTGTTCCTACTTCTAATAAAATCACCAAACATTGAAAATCTATTCTAAGGTTGAAATACTAAACATGTTGTATTTTTCCATCTATTCAAGAAAAGACATGTCGTTCTTGAAGATCTTCATCTCCATTTTATTGTCTTAAAGATTGTGACAATCTATCAAGGACATAAATTCCAAAGAAAGAAAATCCTTAATATACTCTTGTATCATTGAAGAGAACTAGATAGTCACTCAAAAGGTGATGTAATATCAAACTAAAATGGCTATTGCCAAAAACAAAAAGACTAGAATGTCTTGAAACATGAGTGAAGATTAGAAAGGCATTGATAAGAATGAAGAAGGCTTCACTCTTGCCTCTATATACACTCTTAACTAGGAGTTATGTGACAATGTCCTATTAGACCTACAAACCATGTTGACTTTACATATCTTAACTTGCAAGGCAAGTTTTCTATATGTGCACTACATAGTTAACTTATTTTGTAAGCTACCAATACATGATAAATTTATTGATCAAGTTTCTAATCTATCAATTAACTACATATACATATAAAGCCAAGCAGCATCTATGATACTATTAGAAAGCTTCTCTAAAAGATCTTATGAAATTAACCTACTTTTATTTACTTTTATCTATTCCTACCTAATCATATAAGTATTTATAAGAATATCTATATATGATCATAACACTACCTCCCTTCTAGGAACAAGTTCCATAAGGAGCAGTCTTCATTTGTTGTGGAAATCTAAGGTGTAGAAAATTATATTTGCCACATATTCTGATCTTTGTTCTCTTTGAAAAAGGTTGATAGGTCCTCTCAGCCATTGATAATATCTTATACTAGAAAAAAAATAAATATCACCCTGTTATTTGGTCATTGTTGAGGCCTTCATAATTTGGTCATTATTGAGGCCTTCATAATTTCCTTCAAATAAAACATTTGGAATACCATTAGGAGTTTTTACTATCTCTAATAAAATCTCCAAACATTGAAAGTCTCTTCCAAGGTTGTGATATCAAATACATTATATCTTGCCATGTATTCAAAGAAAGACATGTTGTTCTTAAGGATTTTCATCTTGATTTTGTTGTCTTAAAGGTTGTGACAATTGCAATGTCGTATCTGATAAATCCACAAATAAAAGCTCTTGAGTTAAATCTGATAGTTGTTGGTTCTCCATCTGCTTAGCATCACAAATATATAGAAGCTAAAAAAAAAGATAGAAGTTAGAATAATATCTTCCTTTGATCTTATTTCTTTTATAACAAAGATTTACTTTTCTTTATTTTAGTTTTAATGGATATTGTCAATGAAAGGCTATAACTTTCTTTGCTTTATTTGTAAGATTCTTTGATGGCTTTCATGTGCATTCACTAATATCATATCCATGCTAATAAATAAGATATTCTAGTCTATTTTGACATTGCCTTGAGTCTAAGACTTCTTCCACCTTGAACTCTTGATTATTATCTACTTCTATAGAAGGAGGTGGCATTTTTCTTTTTCTTGAAAAATTTATTATCTTATATAGCTTAAGAAGAGATGTGTGAAATATAGAATAGATCTTTATAGCCTCCAGTGTATCATAGACATATATTTATTCTAATAATTATCTAGATAATTAGAATAGGTAGAAGTAAGTCAAAGTAGATAAATATAATAATAACTTATGAAAAGCTTCCTAGAAGCTTTATAGATGGTGTTTTGCCTTTATACATGTCTATAGGTGATTGGTAGGTTGAAAACTTGGCCAACAAAGAAGCCATGTATTG